TACTAGTTTTGTCTTTGATAGAGTTAAACCGCAGTTAGTTTGGTCTCATACCTACAGATACGAGATATGTGTGCAGAGCATATTAGTAGCCACATACTAGACATATGTAGATGAAATGTTGGGGGGTACACTATATATACATATAATATACACACATACAAGTGAGCTCCTAAGGGCTTAGAACCTCCAGTCGAGTAAGTTGCTTGGGGTTGCGATTATTTCGTCGCGCTCAACATATTTAAGTTTTAGGGTTCAGGGTATCGGCTCCCAGGTTCAAAGATCCCTGGCCAGCCGCTGGTAGATGCCTGCTTCAGCCTCGAAGTTTGCCATGCCCCCACCCGCACGTCCATGGCACGAACTGCACCTGCCATGGACAGCTCCGTGAACCTCAGCGTCTTACAACATCATGGTTCTTGGCTGCTCATGTCCTTATGCACGGCCGTCGAGCCCCAAACCAGTTTGAAGTCAGAATCGCAGCAGGAGCACCCCGAGTTGGTGTCGGTTCGGGGCACAGAAGAGGAGCAGCTGAAGGCGGCTGAATCGAAAGCTGTGCTCTGATACGATCACCATTTCTTATTAATTTGCAATCTTGACGGAAATGCATGTGGCGGGTTTTGGAAAAAGCAGTGTACTGCTAACCCCTGATAGAGCATCCCCCAGTAAGATGTTTATGGGTATCCTTCTCTTGTTCCCTCAAGCGGGTGGGGGGCGGCGGCGAGATTTGTAACACTAGGAGCCCTTTGTTATGAGGCATCTTCCTCGTCATTTTTGTCACCACCTTGAGTCTTTTGTCGGCATGTCCTTGTTTCCCGGTCGCCTACTGTTTTTTTTGTGCGAGTCCTAAGCCCTGCGTTGGAGCCGCTTTATCTCGAGCTGTTGTTTGAGTTTTGTCTACTGCTGTATACCAGCTCCACATTCCGTGCTTCTGCCGTAGCTGCAGCCTGGTACGTTTCATTGCTTTGTTGGCATGCTTGCACAAGCATGGAATCTTGGTCAGAAAATCCGGCGGTTGCACCGAACATGGTTAACATGGACCGAACCTCTATGCATGCTAACATGTCCTGTCCGAAAGCTGGGAAGCTTCAGGCCATCATCGCCAAGAAACGAGCCGCAACTTGCCCCAATCAGTTCAAAAGTAAGGTGTCACGCCGTATCACAGAGGTTCACACCCCAGCGTCACGTCATGGTTTGATTTTGGCCAGGTTGCAGAAGGATTCAGGTTTTATAAGATTTAGGGTTTATAAGGGTTTAGTGAAGCTTTCGTTCCGGGGTATTGATATTGCCTAGAAGCCCTACTATTCACCAGGCCTGTCAGTGAAAACGCCAGACATTCAACTTTAAAAGAGACACAACAAGCCTCTACATTGAGCCTGGACAAATGGCTTCGAGACAGAAAGACTGTGTTTCTATGGTAGAGGGAAACTTATGGCCACACCGCTAGCCGTCCCGTGGAGACTTCAGAAGCCCCCTCGAACTCGCAACCCCCCGACGCAACCCTAAACCCCTAAACCCCAAGCCTAAACACCAAAGTCACTTCACCCTAATACCTTCATAAATCGTGAATGGTGAGCATTTAAGGTTGGTGGTTGCCCGACCTTCCGTGGTACCAGTGACCGTTTGGCACGAGCTCCGCGGACGATTCGTCAATGCTTCGTTGTAGGGAGGGTCCAGGTTTCTAGATTGAGCGTTCTAGTTTTCAGGGTTTCGGGTTCAGAGTTTCAGATTTCGGGTTCAGGGTTTAGGGTTTAGGGCTTTTGTTTTATGGACTTCGGCTTCAGGGCTTGGTTCTGCAGTACTTGCTTTTGTCAATTTTTAGTGCTTTATGGTTTTCAGCTTCGTACTTCGTCCTTCTGTAACGGTTGCGGGTTTAGGGTTGAAGGTTGTCGGGTTCAGGGTTAAGGCTTTAGGGTTATGGTGCCGAATCTGAGATTGTTCAAACCCTCGTACAATTATTAAGGCTCCTAATTGCGTGTAGATACATTTAACGCTCACTGGCCACGCGCTAGTCTTTCCCTAAACCGTACGCTGCCCTAAACCTTCAGTTCCTCCCTAAGCCCTTTCAGCCCTTAAGGCTGTAAAGTTCAATTCCCCTGCGGTCTGCAAGGGCCAAGACGCTGCTGTGAATACTCGGGGATTGGTGCTGTCTGTTGGATTGCAGCTTGGGAATTGTGTGCTTCGTCGCGTCTAGAGTTATAAAATTGGTGTTTTCAGCTACTACACTCTAGACAATACCAGCATTATTCCTCAGGGTTCCTTATTATATAATTTCAACTATAACTGGGATTATTACGGCTCGTATGTTACAGCCCAAACTTGGGACGACAGGTCTCCTGCTGCCTGCCCATGTCCTGTGACTTCCCTCCGCCCGACGAAATGTGGAAGTTCCGTCTTAATCCGCTCACTTATAATGGCCTTTGAGCCCGAAATCCTGAGCCTAAAGTGACCCATATAAGTAAGCCTTATAGCAACCTAGCAACCAGTATGGTCATCCTTTCAGCAATCCTGCTTGTACGTATTCCCTGTATGAGATCCTGAAAAACGACTAAAAGGCGAACGACTTCGAGGGAAGCGGTCTAGTGGGAGCAGCTTCGAGGCCTGCATTGCTGGGTCTTGAAAGAAAGGGTCCGTTCAAGCGTTCTTCAGGTTATTACATAAGGGACTTAGTGTGTAGGGGCCTCAGTTTAGAATCGGATGTCGTGGAATATTATAAGAATAATTCGCGATGATTAATCATTCTGACCCTTACATATTTCTCCATGTATCTTCGCAGTTCGTTGCCGGGCGTATTTTGTGCAAGGAGTGACAACAATGTAACAATGTTGCAACTGAAAGCAAACACAGCTTGGTCTACGACTTCCCTCATACTTCTAGTGATAAATGTGGTTGTTCGTGGTGAGGGAGGCGATGAGCACAGGTATGTTGACTCCTTGTGCTTGTAGCATTGCCATGTAGCCGCCGCAGAAGGTGCATGGTATTTCGGGTTTGTCGGCCGGTTGTCGGTAGAAAGTAAGTAAAGTACATCAGGTGCTCGCACTGCCCTGAAGCGAAAAGACAGGCCGTTTATGTACTGCACCTGCCATCCACTCTCAACAACAACAGGTGTCACTAGATCCCATCCAGTCGCATCCTCAGAGAAAATTCGGTACATCCGTTTGGTTTCATTTCGTCTCAGCATTTGGTTTTGGGTTAAGTTGCGTTGAAAGCTGAAATTAAAGTAGTGGGCACTGACCGGTTTGCATCATTGCATTTAGTGTCACCAGGCTGCTGAGCATGTCTGAGGATCTCAAGCGCGTGTGTGTGTGTGTGATGCAGTGTCTTGATAGACTGTGGGTGCACCCAAGATGGGGGCCTTAATCATTACAATAAGGTTTTGGGGTATAGTTTACTATAGCTATCATACAGTAAGGAACCCTAAGTAATACTATTGGAAATTATTTACGCTTTTATGTTTTCCTTGCTTGCCTTCAGCTCATCTGCAGCCTCCTGTGAGTCGGTGTCGTTCGGGCTTGCTGGGATGTCGAGGATCCTGGTTGTAGTTTCGGGCCTCTCCTATCCTGCGGGCTTATGGTCAAAGCTCCTTCGAGCCGGGTAGGATGTAGAGTTGTCCCAAACCGCAAGTCTGATACAAAGGAAAGAGTTTATTCTCAGAGCATAAATCCCCAAGAGATTGAACCACGCGAGCCCACATTCACCTCAAGCCCTTATTCAAGACAGGCAGTTCCTTCGCTTCATTCAGAAGGACGAAGCTCGGGGTCGAGCCTGCGAGTGACGCGAGCCCGGAGTTGTTTGTTGTTATCTTCTGGCGCCGTGTGGTATCGGTTCTCCGGCTTCGCAGCCCTTTTCGCGAACCGGAACCATCCCTGGAAACCCACCATGATCCGGTCACTCCGTCGACTGCTACTCTGATGTGACACCTTTACTACCACAACCCTGCGGCTGCTGCTGCCTGCTGCTACTGCTGCCACCACACTGCTACTACTCCTTCTCCTACTCCTGCTTCTGCTACTACTACTACGACTACTATTGCTACTAGTACTACTACTACTACTACTACTACTACTACTACTACTGCTACTACCACTACTACTACTACTACTACTACTACTACTACTACTACACTATGATAACTACGACGGCGACGACAACGACTGCGACCACGACCACGACTACGACTACAACCACCACGATTGCGACAACGACTACGACCACGACTACGACTACAACCACCGCGACTGCGACGACGACGACTACTACCACGACTGCTTCTTCTGCTCCTGAAGCGCAGCTGCTGTTAACACTCGTAGCATTATCTAGCGCCTGATCTGCTTCAAAGGAAATACTCCGCATGCCAACGAGTGGACTGAAGAAGCCAAAATGCTGATGTAACCACCATACAGGTGGATATACATGCAAAAGAGGCAAACGGATATGGGCACAGGCAGAGACAGCGTAGATATTCCTCAACCAACGTATCAGCTCTTTGGAGTTGTCATGTTAGGGAGCGAGATGCATCTGGCCGGGTCTGGTGGCTCTCGCTGTGGCGTGGTGAACTAATTTCGCATTCTTTCCACGGTTTCGCACCAGCCCCATCCACCGGGGAAAATTTTTGGAGTCACGCTACCCCCACCCACAGTCCCTGTTCTCCCTTATGCGGCCCATGAATGTTCGGGTCTGGTTTGTCGAAGTATCGTCACTTGCCGATATGGTTCCTGATAATCTTGTTGCAGGATTATGGCCCAATGAGGCACAGTGGCATAGCATGCAACCCCTTTGTGTATCTTTGGAATGGTTTACTTGTGCTGAAAGCTTTCTGCCAACCGGCTATGGCCTTCCACTGTGTAGGGCTTGGGCTTCAGAAGCCCAGCCTCTGGATGACCACAATCCCCGTTCTGAGACTGCATCTGAGGATTGTGGACCGCGAGTATAGTAAGCTGGTCTCGGGCGTACTGGCATCGTTTCCCGAGGGCAAGCGGCCCTTCGTGATCGATGTGGACGACCCCATGTGTCCTGAGAAGGCACTTCGGCCACTGCTAGGCAAGCCTTGTTCTTGTTGCGGTAAGGATCAATCCCAACAGTCCCAACACTAAAGATGACTTCGCTCGTGCCTGAAATTCAAGCAGACTGCAAGCTGTAGATCTCGAAACCAGTACACCGCATCCCTGCCCTGCTTACTTTCGGGAAGTTGCGGGGGCTGCGCTCCAGTAGCCCACTGAGGACAGAGGGCCTTTGATTGGTTCCATGAACTACGAGCAGCTGCTGTCTGAAGGAGATCCGATGGCAGCTTGGGAAGCACCCCCGGACGAGTGGGACACGCTCTCCCTGTGCCTTGGGTTGTTTTGGAGGAATTTAGAGGAGTTGAAAAACGGCAGTGTTCTGCGCCAAAATTTGGGGGGTTTTGGTGTCGAGAGTTTTGACTTTCAGGCTTTCGACTTTGATGGTTTGATATGGTTCGCGTCTGTCAAGGAAGGTGACACACACTCCATGCGTGAGCCGAGCCCCTTGCAATCCAGAAGAAGACAGGTGCTACACAAGCGGCACCACCGCAGATCCAAAAGGCGTCTTGCTGCACCACCGGGGTGCTTATCTCAAAAGCGTACATCTGATCGTCAAGTGGCCTCTTCACCGACACTGCGTCTACCTCTGGACTCTTCATGGGGTGAGAGCGGGACTGATTGCTTTATAGGGCTCCCTGCGACCTGTGGACGGGTGTGAGACTTTCCTGGCTGACTGGCATTCATGGTGTAGGCTTCGCATCTTGTCATTGAGGCTCCGGAGGTTTCGGGAGATTCCTGTGGGAGGGGCGAAGGAAGATTTACGAGGTTTGCAGGATTCCAGCTTTAGGGTCTTTGGGTTCCCGTGAAGGACAGTCCCCATCTTCCACCTGAACGGCTGGTTCTTCCCCTATGCAGTCGCAGCAGTCGCTGGCGTGAATGTCTGCCTCAGAAAAGTGGTCGCCGACGACATCTTCGCAGCTGTCAAGGTGCGTACGGACTTATCCGGGTGCTCAAGTTGCTTAGCATGGGCCCTTATTGTGTTTTTTTACTTCTTGTACTTCTGAATGCTGCATGTATGTATATGTGTACATATATATATATATATATACACACACACACACACCCTCACCGCCCTCACCGCCCTCACCGCCCCAACCCCCCACCACCCCCACCGCTTCTCACCGCCCCCACCCCCCACCACCCCCACCGCCCCCACCACCCCCACCACTCCCACCGCTTCCACCACCCCCCCCACCGCCCCCATTGTTTAAGTGTTTAGAGAGTATGTAAAGGCTGCCAAGGCGTGCGCGGACCCCCCCGCACCCACACCGCCCTCACCGCCTCTACCCATACGCGCACCCCCACCACCCTCACCCCTCTCACCGCCCCCACCACCACCGCCCCCACCGCCCCCACCACCCCCACAACCCCCA